GGGATCGTATTTGATGGAGAAAATTCTATTCTTCCACCCCTTGTTGTTCCCGGGCAGGCCTTTGATGGCGCACATGTCCGCCCGAGACTGCAGCATTAGAAACCCGCCTCCGTAGCTGCCCGGGAGAACTTTGACCTGGTAGATGTAGTTGAATAACTCCATCGTGCAGGCGGCTTCGTTCCGAGCGCATATCTGGGGAAAGCAGGCGATGATCCGGTGCGAGTTGGGGCAGATCTGAGCCGGGACGACCCGGTAGTATGCCAAGAAGGCCATCAAGAGGGGGGGGGGGGGGGAAGGGAATGGCGATCGGGGCCATCAGGGAGTCGTAATGCATCCCGATCCACTTGCCCCGGTGCCAATCGATCACATTCCCTAACTTTCGGCTCGTGTCAAATTCCACCCGCCCTCTGAGCCTTTCAGCAATCCTAGCCGCTTCGCCTTTGGTGAATCGGCTCATTTGTTGTTCGACATTCTCGTTGTTCAAGAATTCGAACTCCGTTGCTGCTGGTGCGCTTGGCCCAGCTGTGTCTTCCTCGGCCGGCTCGGGAGTATTTTCCCGGTCGCCTCGTCGAGGAGCAGTTTCCGGGTGGTCCCCAACCACCCGGGTAGGCGTTTCCCTAACGCCTTCGGGCGGGGAGCCCTGTCTGCCCGATGAGGCTCCTTCTTCTTCCTCTTCGCCGGAACTCCCCGATCCGCTTGAGCTGGAGCTCGATGACCCAGAGGAGCTTGACGCGTTGTCTTGTTCGGAAGCCCGCTCGTGGGCTGGCGCCGGTCGGTGGATGACCTCGGGAGAGTAGGACACGATGTCCACCTCCTCGTCGCTGAGGTACTCGACCTCCTCGTCGTAGTCCGCGATCGAGGCGTTCTGGCTGTCAGAGTCCGTCATTTCGATCTACCTAAAGGTCGGTCGGGGTTAGTAAGGGACTTGAGACGTCCGGGACAGTTAGTTGGCCTATCAGTTCTACTTATAAATGAAAGCGCGAAGTAAAGGGAGGGGTTGAGAACTTACCGAATGGAGGAACTTTGCGATTGAAAGCTTGAAGGTTTCCTTGCTCGACTGCCTTGTTAAGGTGCTCTGCTCGGGGCTCTCTGAGAGTACCGGCTGAAGCAAAAGAATGAGGAAAGTTCAAATGAGGGCCTCAAGGGCCTATTTATAGGAGAGCATTTAGGCGGGAAACGAGCCCACTTGCTTGACACGACCCGCACTGATTCCGAGGCGACGGTTGCAGACGCAGAGGCCGGCAGTGGCCGACACGTGGCGAGGAGAGGAATGTCAGCTGGCAGGTCGGGTTTATGACCGGCGGTTGAGCTTCTTCATCCCGTCCCGTTTTTTCCCGGACGATCAAAAAGGCCCGGGCTGGGGGGCTCTTGGTAGGAGATATCCCGACCGACATAGCTCCACCACGACCGAGATGCCTTCGTCCTTTTCTCTTTTATCTTTTGCAGGTAACAGGTCGGGCTCCTCGTGAAAAACCCGGTCGGGAGTTGCCCGAGCGGCAGTGTCGACCACCGAGCGGTAGCCCTTTGACGAGAGAGCTGATAAAAGACACGTGGCGGCTCTCTGCATCGATAGACTGGGCACCCGTGAGGATGACACGTGGAGGCTACGTGGAGAGCATGCCGAACGACCGGATCTTTGTCTCCGGCACAGCGGCAATAAATACCCGCAGTAGCTACAGTGTAGTGGACTTTGGGACGATCGATAGGTTGTTGTTAGAGAATCCCGACTGCACTCAGTCGGTGCTCAGAGCAACCAAGTAGATTGTACTTAGGGCATTTACCGTGATCAATAAAGTCTTTTATTCGCTTTGAACGGTCTCGGGTATTTTATATTGCTTGCGTATAATTAGCAGTATCAATATTATATTAAATATATTATATTTAATATATCTAACATGTTCACTCAAAATTATTTTTCCCCAAGATAAAAATATTCTCCTAAGTGCTTATGTGAAATTCATTTTCATCAAAAATCAATTTTGTTATCTTTGAATGATTGCTATGTGTGATTCATGATCTTCGTGCAAATTGTGTTTAATAAGTAAGTTATTTGAAATAAATACATATATATATATATATATATATATATATATATATATATATATATATATATATATAATGTATATAATCCGATTATTGGTACTGGAATTGCATTTTAATTAGTATATATGCGTGAACTTATATTGTATGTCATATACGTATTCGAATTATATGTTGCTTAATAGACTGAGTAGTTATGAATATATGTATGTTTGGTTGGTTGGTGTACGTACTGTATGATTTCATTTATTACTTGTTTATAGGTATGTATTAAGCATATGAATTAGTTTGTGCGTATATTATATATTATATATTATAATAATACATATTGGTATGTGGTATGAATATTTGGTACATGGTATGAAAAGTGGTGTAATCAATGTATTGTCATGCATATATTTGTATATTTGATTATGGTGGAGAGAATAAATTAATTGGTATAAAATTATATTATAATTCACTTTGGTCAAGGAGGATTTGTACCCGGATTTTCTTGTGAGTTTGGTCTCTCACGTTTGATGGTGGATTATTATTATATACCGGTGTGGGCCGGGTAGTTAATCCCACAGACTCCTCGAGTTCGTTCGGCCCATTGGTGTAGGTCTCCCATTGGGGGTATGCATACTTAAGGAATTGATCTCGGACCAACTGTGTGGGTCTCCGGTTGGTTTTTTTGGTCACTGGGGCCGAAGTAATGGCTCTTGCCTGGTATTTTTCCTCCTCATTGACTTGGTGGTAAACAGTGGATAAATATGAAAATGTCATAATATATTTTGATTGATGGAAATTTGTGGTAAATAAAGGATTAAATCCTATCCTATTATTGATAAAAGTGGTGAAACGTGGAGGTTGTGGAATTTTATGTGAAGTTAAATGATTGTATGGAAAATTCTTGAATGTTATGTGGAATTATAAATTATATTTATTATATGATTGATATGATAATTGGTGATTAAATGTGGAGTGGTATGAGGAATTAATCTAACGATAATATGACTAAGGGGTTAACATGGAATTATGTGTTCCAAAGTGTTACGTGTTATGTGCAAATATTTTACGGGCTGTAATAAGTCTTACCAGATGTTGTATGCTGAATTTAATTTGTCCCCTCCTTAGTTCTTGTGCAGGTACATCTTGCATGACATTCGGTGCATGAGAGCGATTCATCCTTTAGAGCTTTGGAGTTTTATTTTGTTAGAAAATCTAGAAGTTGTATCTAGACAATGGTATTATTTGAGTTAGTAGACTAGTATTAGTTTTGGGTTGTTTTTAGTAGTGTTATATTTTAGCCTGTGCGTTTGGATATATGTTGTTATCTAAACGTGGCGGTAGCATCCCTTATTTTTCCTTATTTTTTTTTAGCTTCCGCAATTAAATAACGAAATTTTAATCAAAGATATGCCTTTTTATAAATTAATTTGGTTTTGGAAAATGGGGGTGTTACAGCGGGCTTGGTGATCAAAGCACTAGATCACGGAATTCATTGTATCTAGGAACCAAGTAGTGGTGGATATAGTGAATTGCTCTTGGATGTTAATTTTCCTCCTACGCGTTGTGTGCATTAAGTATGTTAATGTGTGCACGAGCTTTGATGGATGGTTGTGATTTTTCCTCCTACGCGCTGTGTGCATGTAAGTATGTTAATGTGTGCACGTGCTAATCCCAGAAATTGTTGGCAGTTCGCCCTATGTGCATGTAAGTATGTTAGTGTGTGCACGAGCTCAAGTTTGTATTTTAAGGGGGTTTGTATTTGAATGCAACCCTATATATATATATATATATATATATATATATATATATATATATATATATATATATATATATATATATATATATATCACAATTGTAATATTATCTTGTGTAGGCCTATTATGAATAGTCCATAAGATCCTAGATACAAGGATTTTGGCTTACCAATTGATCCTTACCTCAGAACCTTGGTACTAAATCCAAGTTTCTTAATCAGTGGTAATAATTTTATTTGTATATATAATTTTAAATTACCACGATTTAGGGATAAAAGACTCAAACATGTAGTAAGAAGCAGAAAATTTGTGATGGAAGATTGAAGAAGTATAGAATCGGCGATGAGACGGCCGCACGATCGTCACACGGAAGGGGTGCATCATGAGATGGCGGCACGACCGCAGTGGAGAGTTAGTGATGGTGGATCAAAGCAACGAAGAGTTGAAAAGGAAGATCGAGCAATAGAGAGCTGGCAATGGAAGATCGAAGAAGCAAAGAATCTGTGATGAAAGATAAAAAAAAAATATATATATATATAGAGAATCAGCAATGAGACAGTCGCACGGTCGTCGCACGGGAGGGGTGCATCATGAGACGGCACACAATCGTAGCACGGGATGAGTCCGTTAGACTTGATCAAGATTCTATATCTATATATAAAAGAAATTCTATAACAGGAAAGAAAAACTTGTGTCTTTAAAATTCCCAACAAATTAGCCACTAATGAATTGAATACAACAGCCATTCATTCAAGCAACACTACAGAAGAAGGGTTTTCAAAATTGTGACAATTTTATTAATTATTATGGCAATTTTATGGTAATATATTTCAATATTGGAAGAGAACAAATATTATAATTAATATAATTAATTAAATTATTGTGGTAATTGTCACAATATTTGGTAATTATAATTTATTTAATTAATGAAATTGCAAAATATAATATTTCTTCCTGATGAAGTATATAGTGCAATGGTGCAGCTTATCAACAGATGGAGAACACAGTCAACACCAAGGGTCAAGCTCCAAGGGCTATTTTTGTCCTTCTTTCTTTCCTGGTAGTTATAACTGCTTCTTTCTTATCTCTGTATATAAGCTCATGTTGAGCTTCCTTCTTTCTGTTCAGCAACTTTCCTTTCTTTTCTGCCCAGACTCAAGTATGCTTTGCTCAATAATATGGTTGGTTTTCATGCATGATCTGAGCTAGTTTATCATGGTATCAGAGCGTCGTAGCTACGTAGAAAATCAGAATAACACAGAACAAGCCGAAGCCGATGCTTCTTCGAGTCAGATTCCGATGAATGTCGATCATGCACAGGAATTCGACGATCCTTGGAATCTTCATATTATGGAGAATCCTAATTTGATTCTCGTCTCTCCGCTCTTGTCTGAGGTGAACTATGCGTCATGGAGTCGATCAATGAGGATTGCTCTCGAAGTGAAGAACAAATATGGATTTGTTGATGGATCCATAGTTAGGCCTGAGGAAACTGATCGGAGATTCTCTTTTTGGAAGAGGTGCAACAACATTGTCTGCTCGTGGATCCTCAAGTCTCTCAGCTCCACGATTGCAGAAGGAGTCCCGTACCTTGAAACTGCATCAGATGTGTGGAACACTCTGAAGAAGAGATACTCTCAGATAGACTCACACAGGATTGCTGAGCTGCAAAATGAGATCTATCGATGCTCACAAGGTAACTTCTCAATCAACGAGTATTTTACTAAAAGCAATTGTTTATGGATGCAAATGAATGCTATGAGAACAATTCCTGCTTGTGAATGTATTCCTAAGTGTACCTGCTCCTTAGTAAGTAAGATACAAAAGGAAAAAGAAGAGGATCAAATCATTAGGTTTTTGAAAGGCCTAACTGAAGAATATGAGAGTATTAAATCTGCAATTCTTGTTATGGAACCTATTCCTACCCTTGAGAAAGTGTTGAGTATGGCTTTAAAAATTGAAAGGAAAATCAAAAACTCTTTTAATCAAAAGAACAGTGACATAATTCAAGCAAATGTTCTGCAAAATGGTCAAGATCAGTATGAACAAGAACAACCTACGGTTGCAGTCTCAACCCCAAACAATAAGAAAAAATACAATAATGGCAGTGGAAATGGGAATAGATCAGGAAAGAGTGTGCCTAAGTGTACTTTCTGTAGAAGACTTGGTCACATTATTGACAAATGCTACAAGAAACATGGTTTTCCCCCTGGCTGGATCCAAGGATATAAGTCTATAACTAGATAGACTCAGGACTCACAACAGGCTCCTAATTCCCTTGTGAATCAGGTTGGTGATGTAGGTCTCACATCTGAACAATTTCAGAGATTGTTATCTATATTGTAGAATCAGAGCTAAGGGAATCAAGCCTCAACTAGTGCAACTGTGACTGTCAGCAAAAATGGCCTTAAGCCAGATTTCAAAAACTCCTGAAGGCTGGTTCATCTCTAATATCCATATTAACAATGCCTTGTTTTCATCAAGTGTATGAATTCTTGATTCTGGTGCAACAAATCATATTATTTGTTCTTTAGAATTTTTTGAGACATGCCATGCCATTCATGAAGTTTCTGTTAAGCTGCCTAATGGGGAAATGATGAATGTCTCACACATGGGACAAGTTAGGCTAGACATGAACATATTACTGCAAAATATTTTGTACATACCATCCTTCAGTTTCAATATTATATCTACAACTAAATTGATAAGGCAATCAGGTTATGAAATTATTATGAAAGCTGATTCTTGTAAAATTCAGGGACCTCTTGGGATAGTGGATGGTTTTACTAAAGAAAGAAATGGGTTATATCTGATAAACAACCCCCTTGTCAAGAAGAAGACTTGTAGTTCAGATGAAGTTTTTAGATCATGTAACAGTTTCTCTTTACAACTGTGACATGACAGATTAGGCCATTTTCCTGTAAATAAGATACAATTGTTGAAAGGAATAAAACTTTCCTCTTCTCTAAAACACCTAATTTTTTTTGTGATGTATGTCAATTTGCAAGACACAAAAGATCCATATTCCCTGTCAGTGTTAATAGAGCTAAGGCATGCTTTTATTTGTTGCATATGGATGTTTGGGCCCCTTTACTGTTGCATCCCTCAAAGGGGAACATTACTTCTTGACCATGGTAGATGATCATAGCAGATTTACCTGGTTGCATCTAATGAGGCACAAATCAGAAGTGAAGCCTATTTTTCAGAACATTTACAATATAGTTTGCACTCAGTTCCTAGCCAAGATCAAGGTTGTTAGAACATATAATGGTGGTGAATTTATGATGAATGATTTTTTTATGAAACGGGAATTCTACATCAGAAATCTTATGCATACACACCCCAACAGAATGTGGTGGCAGAAAGGAAACATCAGCACATTTTGAACATTACAAGGGCTCTAAAGTTCCAATCTGGACTGCCTGACAAATTATGGGGGCATTGTGTTCTACACTTTTCTTACTTTATCAACAGGCTACCTACTGATGTTGTAGATGGGTCCACTCCATATCATGTTCTATTTGAAACAGACATAGATTATAGTCAACTCAGATGAAGTATATAGTACAATGGTACAACTTATCAACAGATGGAGAACACAGTCAACACCAAGGGTCAAGCTCCAATGGCTATTTTTGTCCTTCTTTCTTTCCTGGCTCAAGTATGCTTTGCTCAATAATATGGTTGGTTTTCATGCATGATTTGAGCTAGTTTATCACTTCCGTGGAAATATTTGTGGCAATTTCATTAAGTTATAATTAATAAAATATGAAATATAATTAAGAAAATGAAATTATAAAATTAACAAAATATGTGTTCATAAATATTTAGAAATATTTTTAAATACATATATACATACTTATTCACTATATTGGTCATACAAAATATAAGTGCTATTTTTTTTTATTTTTAAATGTAATTTTTTAACTTATAAATCAATCAATATAAATTATAATTAATAAAATTATATTATAGATTTTCCTATATACATATTAATAAATAAATATTATGTTTATATACAATGTATTATACAATCATATAATGAAATGCGTCCGATTATATTTTAAACTTACTCATACAAAATTTAAAATTTACATTTTTTATTAATTTCTAAGTATAATTCTCTTAATTAGTTATTATTCATATTCCTAGAATTATAATATATATGAAATACAATTAGGAATAAATCAACTGAATTATGTGAATTTTATCTATAAATTTATCTAAATATGTATATGATTAGAGATGATATTAACCATACAAAATTTTAATTTTAATTCTGTATGCTATGAAAATAGATACTTCACCAAATATATAAAACTCTAACTATATTATTATATTGTACTGTTTAATATTTTTTCATTCTTCTCTATTTTTTAAAAAATTAAATTAATAATACCAAAAAAAAAAATTGTGCATCACACACGTATAATACTAGTACATTAATATAATAAGGACCGAGTGATCAAGAGAAATGAGATTTGAGAAATGATATAGAGCAATTAGGTTAATAAAGAACAAAAATTGACTAATTAATTGAGAGACGTATTTGAATTATTTTAAACTCATTCTACAGTTTCAATATATTTATTTTCAATATTATTACAAACACACAAACTACAAAAAGATTTAAATTACCTCGGTGTAGGGGTAAAATGCTCAAATAGGTATTAGAAGTGGGCTTGAAATGCAAAAGTAGTAGAGAGCCGGCGATTATAAATTGAAGCAGCGCGCGGGGAATCTTTGATGGTGGATCAAAGCAACGAAGAGTTGAAATGGAAGATCAAAGCAATAGAGAACCGACGGTGCAAGATCGAAGAAGCAGAGAATTTGTGATGAAAGATCGAAGTAGTAGAGAATCAACAATGGAAATTTGAATCAAAGGAGAGTATAAAATTGAAGCACTGGAGAGTCGGTGATGGATGATCAAAGGTAAGCAACAATGAGTCTTCGATGGAAGATCAACTCAACAGAGACCCAATGGTGGAAAATCGAAGCAATAGAGAGCCACCGATAAAAATCGGAGGGGCGGATGCATCATGAGACGGCCGCACGATCATCGCACGCGAGAGGTGCATCATGAGACTGCTGCACGACCGTCGCACGGGAGGAGTCCGCTGCCCATGATCAAGATTCTATATATATAAAGTAAATTCTAGAATAGGAAAGAAAAACTTGTGTATTTAAAATTCAGAATGAATTTGCCTTGATTTCTTTAGCATACTACAGCAAGCTATTTATAGTCCAATAGATTAACAAATTAAATTTCCTACAAATTAGCCACTAATGAATTTACATACAATAGCCATACATTCAAGCAGGAATACAGAAAAAAGGGTTTTCACCAATCAGCACTCGCAACATTCTTGAAAACCTCCTCTACCCTCTCCCCGCCGCTGTGTGCCTGGATCTCCTCTTCCAAAATTTTAATCACACCACTCACCTTGGACACCTTGTACAGGAGATCTTTCATCTTCGCTTCAGCTATGGCTTTTTCTTTCTCCTTTCCGGCAACAATTTCCGCCCCCTCACACAGCCTAATCAGCTCGTTTATCCTGCCGCGCAAGAACCCCACTTCCATGCTGAAATGCCCCACCCCAATCAGAGTTCTGTCCCATACTTCCAAAACATCACGGCCCGTTGCGAGCGTGGCTGCTTTGATGCCATCGGCGATTTTCACAGTTTCTGTTATTGCCCCGGCGATTAGCGTGTAGTTCAACCCAGGCTCTTCAAGCTCATGAAGATACGCGTTTCGACTGCGGCACAGCTCGTAGTACTTGAGCCTAGTGTCTTCGGAGATCTCAGAATCTATGTTTAGGTTGTTAACAACAACGTTGAAATCCTCAAAGTTTTTCACTTGTGAAAACTCAACCACATTCATAGGCTGCAGGGGGTTGTTATCTCTATCACTGCCAGATAATAAGTTGTCTGATGTAGAGACTTCTCTCTCCAGATTGTCACTTTCATGCTGTATTCTGGTTAACTGATCTGCAGCATCTTCAATTCTCAGCACATTTTCCTCAACATCATAACCTTCCAGCAGTAAACCCTCTGGAATAACAAAAAAAGTTATGCGTATATGGTTCAGTCCTAATGAATATTATATATGTTGGTTTGTGCAAGTTGGCATAGTTTGGATGGATGAATAACTAGAAATTTTTATTCATTCAGTGCGTAATATAAATCCTATATTGATGAGATATAAGATATACAATATATTCTTTAGAATAATACCAATATACCAGCCAATGACCTGAAGTGACTGTCCCAAATGGGAGGTCATTTGGGTTCGAGCCCTAGCGGGGCGGTATTGACTCTTTGTACTTCAGTAGGTTGCGAAAGTAGATATGAACAGATACTATATTGTAATAGATCGAGTCAGTAACACTCAAATGCAAGTCTAATGTTGATGAGGCAATGCAACACAACTGAGAGCAAAAGAAACAAGCTAAGGAAAGCATACCAGTTGCAATTGGCTGTGCATAATGACTTAAATCCAGAAGGCTGATAGCACCAGCAATATTTGCCGAGTCATTTATCCGAACAACGTACAGCTAAAACAAGGAAAAGGAGTAAAAATGAGGCTAATTCCTTGAAGCTACGCAAAAGAAAAGCTATGGAGGGTGGATGGGGTTACCTACCTTAAGCTTGAGAGGTTGGATTAGCTGAAAAACTACAACATCCCCGGGAACCAAGTTGTGTTGGAGGGGAAATCCTCTCCATCCACCACTCAGGCCATGCTTCTCAATAAGGTACTTGCTCTCTGTTTCTCTTCCATTTTCATCCACCAAGATAATGGCAGTATCATGGTTTGGAAGATGAGAAGTGCAGAAATCTTTTGGCAGACCTCCTATCACATCATTATATTATATTTGAGAATGATGGCACAGTGATAAGCATGCTTAGATTACTTTATTTAACATAATTAACACCAAAGAGATATGGTTATGTGGGCTTACCAACCAAAATCCACTAGTAGTATGAGAATGGAGCAAGAACTTGACTACTACACTAGGAAATTGAGGTGAAAGATTTGCTTGAAGTTCTCGAGCTCTCCTCATAGCTGTGGAGTTTTCATCAACACACCCATACTCCCTCCTAGAACCTTCACCTTTAGCCTGCTCAAATAGTGCCATGTAAGCAGGAAGTTGCAGAACCTGGTGCATGAATCAATTTGGCACAAGAAATACAGCATGAACAGTCATTAGCCAAAATCATACTGTTTGGTAAATGGTTGTTAGCTGTTAGCTGATTGGGTTAATTAGAGGGTATAAATAGTTGATACCATTAGCTGATTGTAGAAATGTAACACCCGTTAGCTGATAGCTGTTTGGTATAATTGGTATAATTACTTTTCTCAAAACGCTAATTGAAAAAGTTGCTTTGAACAGCTTTTTGAATTTTAGCATTTTAGAGTTACAAAAAACTGATTAACCAAACACTTATATATATTGATTTTTTAACCAAGTCAAACAGCTAATAGTGGGCAATTAAGCCAAAATTGACTGATAAAAACTAACTATTTTACCAAACAGGGTGGCCTGTGGCAACAATATCTCATTTCATCAAAGTTGTGTTATCTAAAAACATAATAAGTGTGAGTGAATGAATGTTATACCCTTCATTTATGTCCATTTTTTTCATTAAGTTTTTTGATACATTATGCTATAAAAGTTGTACTATACAATATTTTGGACAAATATACCCCTACCATTATAACTTCCTTTATCTTTTTCACTATTGTTACTATGCACATGCATCTACCACATATTTTCTTATCTTCTTCATCTTCTTCAATAATAATAATAATAATAATAATAACAATAATAATAATAATAACAATAATAATAATAATAATAATAATATACACATTATATATTGGAGTTATATGTTAGTTATTTCCTAAAATTAAATATAAATATCAAATTTATAAAAATATTTTACATTATTATTATTGTTTACAATAATTTAAACATCTAAAATCTAAATAAATTTAAAATTTTAATATAAATTTTAATATTGGGCACCTATGTTTTGTGCATCGCGCATAAAAAATACTAGTTAACTTAATAAGAACAAACACTAATCCCATCATTCCACAATAGTATGTAAGCTAAGGTAGTAAAGAGGAAGTGTAGTGCAAGCAGGGGTATTCAGTCTTATTTTATGCATCAAACTTCATAATTAAACAACAATGGTGTTGAGATTAACAAGAACAAGAAACAATAACAATGACAGAAAAAGGGTAAAGACGACAAGATTTACGTGGTTCGGCAATGTGCCTACATCCACGGGAGTGAAACAATACTCTTATTCATAGTGATGGTGATTGTGGTGACACAACCCCTTAGGGATACAACCAATATATTTATAGGCATCTAATCCCTGTACAAAGGGTCTACCCATTTCACTCCTACTCCTAGTATGAGACAAACTCATATTCCTAATCCATATATGAGACAAACTCAACAATCTCCACCTTGGCGAATATGCTCTTTAAGAGAAAAGATAAGTCAACAAATCTCCACCTCGACGAATATGCTCTTTAGGATAAAAGACTTATCTCACCATCTCCGCCTTCACATATATGCCCTTTAGGAGAAAAGACTATCTCCACCTTTGAAAATATGCTCTTTAGGAGAAAAAGATAACTCAACAAATCTCCACCTTGGCAAATATGTTCCTTAGGAGAAAAGACTTATATCATCATCTCCACCTTCACAATTATGCCCCTTAGGAGAAAAATAAATATCTCACATATACGCATGGGTAGGAACAACCATGTTCATCCCAACTAGCCAGCCATATGCACCACGCAGCATCAAACGTTTTCCAACATGTACACGAACCACTTTGTCCCAAGCCATTCGCCCCTCAGCCGTCGACCTGTTATACCAGCAGCGACTCATGCTTACTGTCCCGTTTAGCTGATCTCCTGCATCTGGCCCATACCAGGTCCATGTCCCCCCCTGGTATCCACGCTGCCCCTAACACAACAGCGCCCTTGCAAAGTCACACTAAACTCCTGTGCCTTGCTCAATTCTCCACTAACCAGCAATTACCACTGGTCAGCAACACGCACCACGCACCACGCAGCATCTAACGTTTCCCCGTGCATGTTCACGAACTGCTTCGTCCCAAGCAATCCGTAACACCAAGCCATATTATCCCGACTCATACTAGGTCCATATCCCCTACTGGTATCCACGCTGCCCCTAACACAACAGCGCCCCTGCAAAGTCACACTAAACTCGTGTGCCTTGCCCAATGCTCCACTAACCAGCAATTACCACTGGCCAGCAACACGCACAACGCAACATCAAACGTTTCCCAGTGCATGTTCATGAACTGCTTCGTTCCAAGCAATCCGTCGCACCAAGCGTGACTCAAGCCAAGCCCGGCCCATACCAGTGCCATACTGGCCCATACTGAGCCAATATCGACCTATACCGATACCAGCCTATACCGATAGCGTGAGTCATGCCAAGTCCGACCCATACGAATCGTGACTCGTGCCAAGCCCCGGTCCATACCGATACCAGCCGAGACTAATGACAAGCCCAGCCCATACCAGCCGTGACTCACGCCAAGCCCGGCCCATACCAGCCATGACTCACGCCAAATCCGGCCTACACCAATACCATGTCGAGACTAGTGACAAGCCCAACCCATACCAGGTCCGCGACCCGTCCTGCTATCCGCGCTGCCCAACACTACAGCTCCCCTCAACACCTTCTCATCTAGCATCTAGAAACATCCAACAAGTCCAAACAATATTCCAACTTGTTACTTGTGACACCCCAAAAATCCACATTCAATCCATGGATTAATTGAGTAATTAATCCTATTTTTTATTTGAGGAATTAATTCCTAAAATCCTGATTTTTAATAATCAAGGACTAGAATTTGACTAGTCAACCTTTAAGTTGTGTTGTACCTTGAGCTTTGAGGGGAGTTCCCTTGTTCCTTACATTTTCTAAAGGTTAGTAAGGGTATTCTTGTCTTTTCACCAAGAGTTAGTATTGTAACCTAACCTAGAAGACTTCTTCATTTCATTCCCTACAATTCTTAGAAAAATAGTTCTAACTTCTCTCTAGAAAAGAAGTGTAGCTTATTCTCCAAGCCAAGTTGAGACCCTTGTCAAGATTCCAAGATTTGCTTCCAAGATTCAACCTTTCACCTATTTGGGCATCTAGGAGGGTAAGATCTAAGTTCATCTTGTGTTTTTGGTTCCATCTTAGTCGTCTTTTCTTAAAGGTAGGATCTTTATTATCTTTTGGTTTGATCTTGAAGTGGGTTTGGAATGTAAGCCTTGTGGAGAGCTTGTTGTGGTGTAAAGTGAAGTCTTTTGGTCTTCAAGAGGTAACTCATGCTCTACAAAACCTATTTTGCTTACCTATATGTGATTTCTTGGATTCTACATGTGTTTTGCTATGAAATGTGAGGGTTTATGCATTTTTCTTGTGATATTGCATATCTAGAGCTTGTGTTTAGGGTTCCTTTGTGCCATTGCTTGGCATTTTCCATGATTCAAGTCATTTTGTTGTGTTGGGTGAGATTTGGCATGTTTTGGACTTGAATTTGTGTTTGGAGAAGAAAATCCCCGAAGGGATTATTTTACCCAGGAGTATGTACCCGCGGTCGGAACGGCGGGGAGAGCCCTACCCGCCGCCCACCCGTAGGTACAGTGGCTTGTGGGTAGTGTACCCGCGGGCAGAACCACAGGTAGGGGCCTACACGTGGGTCCACCCGCGGGGAACACACTGGTGTTGAGATGGGATTTGTTCCCCGTGATTCGTTTGCCTCGGTATTTGGTCTTTTGACATCCCGTTGTTCTTTTGTGGAACTATTTGAGTGTCTTCTTGATGTTTCGTATGTCTATAACTATACGGTAGGTATCCATGTAGGACTTTGGTGTCTTGAATCGTGCTAAGTGTTCAACATTGTGTTTCGTTGGACCGAGAGGTGTCTTGTGTGTTCCTCGGAACTATCTTGAGTTTCTCCGTTGTTAAGCATGCTAGTTTATTGTCTTCATGCTAGCGTGTGTGTTGTTTGTACCTTCCGTTTGGTGGATGATAACTTGCGTTATTCATTGTTGTTGTTGTTGGGTTGTGACCCATTCCTTGATTGAGTATGGTTTCATACCTTCGTTGTAATCCGTTGATTGACTCGTGTGAGTGGTGGTGCGTGTGTGGCTTTACCTGGATTGCACGATTAGTGGTATGGGACGCTAGTCACCAAGGTATTGCAGCGGTCCTCGTGGTGGCCGTGATGTGATCATGGAGATGTGTTCCTTCGAGTAAGGTTCACGTGATTGGGGGATAACATGTGTTATTCGGGCATGTATTTTGCCGTGTACGGTACCTTGTGTACTATGAGTTGGTGGTCTTGTTGGTGGTTTGTTGGTGGGAGACGACGGTCCCAGGAGGGAAAAGGTTGGACTAAGAAGTACAGGGGTCCTGGAGGTAATGGTTGGCATGAAGGTACAAGGTTGGGGGTAACCATAAGGTTGGAACAGGGCATAAGGAAGGCATACCAACTCGTGATGGGTGATGTTGCGAGGGCTTGTAAAGCCAGCGTTGTGTGATCTTCTCTTGTGATGTGTGTAGTCACGGAGGCTTGTGTTGTTGTGGCATGTGTTGCCGTTGGGTGAGTCTTTATCCTTGCGTGTGGTTAACCTTTGTGGTTTGGGATGTGTTCCCGTGTTATCCTTGAGAGTGATGAGTCTTGTGTTGACAGTTGATCTTGGTTTTGACTTATATATATGTATTCCGCTTCGAAAATGGTTTTTATGACTTATATCTATCTATTTATGATACTTAACAGTATTGGTGGGTTACCAGCATTATTCGCTGACCGGGCATCATCCCAATGTTTATCTTTGTATCTTTCAAGTGATGTTTAGACGAGCGCGATGTCTAGAGCCTGGTAGCTTAGCACCTTTATCCTTGCTTTTGTGGCCTGTGCGCCGATGTAGTTAGACTAATGTTTTGGGATAGATGTATACACTTGCAGATTGTTTGCCGTAGCGTTTACCGTGTTTGGTAGACGTGGTGTGACACCCCGTTGGATTTCTTTTATCCAGTTTCGTTTTATCTTCCGCTATGCTAGTTTTGTCGTTTAATCTGCATGTGTTAAGGCTTTTATATAGGTCTTGTTTGGGGGGTGTTACATTACTAGTTACCGCTAGAACATCACCTTCACTATAATAAGAGTCATCAGCTTGAACCACGTTCATAGTTTCCTGCTTTTTCAACTCCTTCCAATCAGCCTCTTCCAGATTAGCTGGCTTTACCGCCCTCAAGGTTTTCAGAATGTCCTGATATGCCAACAAATTCTTTACCCTAGACCGCCATAACTCAAAATTCCCTATACCACCAAACTTTGATACCTCGAATTTTGTACTTGAACTAACCATCTCAACTATGCTCTGATACCAATTTGTTGAGATTAACAAGAACAAAAAACAATAACAATGGCAGAAAAAGGGTAAAGACGACAAGATTTACGTGGTTCGGCAATGTGCCTATATCCACGGGAGTGAAACAATACTCTTATTCATAGTGATGGTGATTGTGGTGACACAACCCCTTAGGGATACAACCAATATATTTATAGGCATCTAATCCCTGTACAAAGGGTCTACCCATTTCACTTCTACTCCTAGTATGAGACAAACTCATATTCCTAATCCATATATGAGACAAACTCAACAAATGGCATGTATTATGTTTACCCGAACCTTCTTGGGAGTAGGAGACCTTCTCTTGATGACCTTCTTATTGGCGGCCAATAGATTCATCTTCTTAAACTATCATAAAAACAAATAAATAAAAAATAAAAAAGCAAATTTTCAGAAGCCATACACAGATAACCAAAAATAAAGGAAAGATGGATTTACATGTAGTATCTGTTTATATATACTTCTTCAACTTACTGAAGCCCTCATACCCATGACTTTCCATTATGATAGAGTCACTTTATGCCGTTTGACCACAAGGTCTTTGGCTTCAATGGATAATAATAAGGTTATAAGTTACTCAGATACGTAATTGGTTCATACAATAAATATTAAGAAAACTTCCTAAAATGACAAGTCAATATATTGAGAGTTTGTATGGATATTTTAAGTTGAAGAGTACAATTATATTGGTGAACCGTGAACATCATTAAAATTTTAAAAATTTGATTAAAATTATTACAATATGCAAAGGTTTGATTTTTTAATTCTTTTTTTAAAGTAATGTATATATGGGAAAAGTATAGTATTAGTCTCCTAGTTATGAGTGATTAGTGGTTTCAATTATCCATAGTTGTTAGTATATATATAGTCCTTAATTTTTGTTAACCATGTTATGGTTTAAGCCTCCAAAGTTAAACAATTAAGGAATAAATCACTAACTTATACCAACAAATAGAGATTATTAACTATGATAACTTTTAAACAAGAAGAAAGAAGAGCTTATATTAACATTAAACATTCTTAAAATTGAAGAAGAAAACAAACAAAAGTTGATATTTCTAGTTATGTTAACACAGCTGAAAACAATTCCAATTTAATTTGTAACAAAGAGAAATACTTAACTATCCATCATACATATGAACGGACGCAACACAAGCATAATTGTCATCAATTGTGGTACCAAAGAAGATAGATTTTTGGAAGTTTTTTAGCACCAATTCAACAAAAATTGAAGACATCTATTTGAAATAGTTGTGCTTAATAGATTCTGATGATATTGTTTAACTATGTTACGAAATTAGATTACTATAGATTTTTCTTTGGTAGAAAACTTGTTGAGGAAAAAAAATCAAATTGTAAACTGTGCTTAAGTTTAGTAAGAATTAGAAAAGTTCATGTTTGAACTCTCAAAAACATTTAGTGTTAGATGTTGTAGAAGATTACTTATATCATAAGAACATCAAATCATAAGGTTATCAAAAGAGAAGCTGAGTTAGAAGAGTTTTCAAATTAAAAGAGAAGTCTAATAAAAAGTGTATGCAAAACAAAATATACAGACATTCAGAAATGAAGCCTTAGCAAAATACTTCATTAATTAGAAGCTAAGATACTTCAAACAAAAGAGGCTCCCTAGTAGAACATTTGATCAAACAAAAGAGAGCATAATCATAATAAAATGTCACAACCCAAGAGAAAATCTTCTAGAAGAAAAGTCTAATTTAAGCATAAGACTTAATCAACCAGAAAAGACTCTTTGGTAGGAAATCCAAGCAAGCAAAAGAACAATCTACCATAAGAGTTAGAAAACAAGAAGAAACAAACTATATCATAAGAAGCTAAAATGGTAAGATCAAAATGTTATACTTTTAGAAGAGACATAACAATTCATATAATGATGAAGATAATAATGTCGTTTGAAGAAGTCAAAACATTCATAGGATACTTTCTCAATAAGAGATGTTGAATACAGAGAAATGAAGAATTCCTCCAATTAAACACAGTTATAGAGTTTTTATGTGTTCAAATTGAAATATTCTCCAAATTGAAAATATGGAAACAAAATTTCTCATTTTCAACATTGATATTAATGTTGGAAAATAGCTACAATTTCTTTTTCAAGAAGGAAAAACAATTCACTATCCATCACATGCACATAACACTCATGTAAAATTGTTCTTAATTATCTTACTAAAGAAAGAGATTGTTAGAAAGTTTTTAATCACCTACAATAATTGAAGACATCACATAGTCTCTCATTCGAGAACTTCAATTCTAGCACTAACGAAAGAAAAGATACTTCATTTGACCTATTAAATGTGTCTAGTTCGGTTAAGGAGAATTAACTCAAGTTATATACAAATCAATTATTCATAATATTAAATTTAGTTTTAGTATATAAAATTTACATATTTAGAAACAATAATATTAAAATTCTATCAAACACATAAAAAGACAAATTTTAAAATTATTAGAAGGTACTAAAGAAAAGAGTAAAAGACATTTTTGGTCCTAGACTTATAGTGGCTTGGACAATTTTAGTCCTTTATAAAAAAATTTGCCATTTTATTGACAGAGTTATTGTGGCGAGGACATTTTTGGTCCTCCGTCTATATTTTTGTTAGATAACTGTCTGAGAGAGGGGTAATTACGTCAATTTAGGCTATCTCCTTCTATCTATTATATCTATGTGTGTTTTTTTTTTCTTCTCGATCATAATTCGAAGGAGTCGGAGAGTCCAAGTTGCAGTAAAGGCATGGTTGTGGGCAGAGCATTTCGTAGTGCAAAACTACAAATAAATGAGGGTCAGAGTAAAGGCATGGTTGTGGGACCAAAATCGTCCATCTCACAATAAAGAGATTTCCTAAATTGACGTAATTGCCCCTCTCTCATACGGTTATCTAACAGAAATATAGACGGAGGACCAAAAATGTCCTCGCCACAATAACTCTGTCCATAAAATGACAAATTTTTTTATAAAGGACTAAAATTGTCCTAGCCACTATAAGTCTAGGACCAAAAATGTCTTTTACTCTAAAGAAAATAAGCAAATATAAAAGAGTTGGTTTATTTAACCGATAAATAGTAAACATGACATGTAAAATAAGACATTGGGTTGGGAGTACTATATTTTTCTTTTAGAAGAAAGAGGGTTGAGGGATGAGACTATCTAAGATTGAGAGAAATATGATAGCTATATATACATTTAAGTAATAAAGACTGAGTGATCAAGAGAAATGAGATTTGAGAAAATATATAGGGCAATTAGTGTAATAAGCAACAAAAATTGTCTAATTAATTGAGAGGCGTATTTGAATTATGTTTTACTCGTTCTACATTGTCAATACATTTATTCTCTATATTATTACAAACACACAAACTACAAAAAGATTTAAATTACCTCGATGTAGGGGTAAAATGCTCAAACAGGTAGTAGAAATGGACTGCAAAGTAGTAGAGAGTCGGAGATGAAAATTGAAGCAGTAGAGAGTCAGCGATATGATGGTGTATCAAAGCAATGAAGAGTTGAAATGGAAGATTAAAGCAATAGAGAGCCATCGGTGGAAGATTGAAGAAGTAGAGAATGTGTGATGAAAGATCGAAGCAAAATTGAATCGGCGATGGAAATTTGAAGCAAAGGAGAGTCGACGGTAGAATATTGAAGCAATGGAGATCGAAGCAACAATGAGTCTTCGGTGGAAAATCAATACAATGGATACTCGACGATAGAAAATTAGAGCGACAAAGAGTTGCTGAAGGAAAATCGGAGGGATGGAGAGTCGCCGATGGAAAATCAAAGCGCCGGAGTATCACCGATTGAAAATGAAAGTTGTGATGAGTCGGTGTTGGAAGGCGTCGATTTGACGATGGAGTGGAGAAAATATATAGACGTCCGGTGGTGGGCTGACGGCACGTTCTCGTTGAGGAGAGAGCGACAGACAAGTAATGTATGTAATTTAGGAAATAACTTAAACTAGATAGTGAGATACCCAAATAGGTAGAGACTTAGGGTTTCGGGATACGGGTCACACAAACAATAGTCGAATTTGGAGGAAATTCTTTTATTGGTGTAGTAGATTAGGCAAATTTTTTTGTGGACCATAAAAAACTCCGTTTTTAATATATTAAAAGTACATTATTTGTGTACTGAATGTACATTATACAAAATATTGTACATTCAATACTCAAATAATTTATTTTCTCTTAATACAAGGAACATTTTTAATATACTAAAAGTACATTATTCGTGTATTTAATGTACATTATTTAATAGTATATAAAATAATGTACTTTCAGTACTCGAACAATATATTTTCAAATAATGTACTTTTTATTTATGTTCCACACAACTATTTGAACTATGGTCCACATATTAATGATTGATATATTTCATTGGCCCAAGAATTAATTTCACCATTTAAGGAGTCAAAGTGGAAGCCCACATGTTTAATGCAATCAAATTATCCAAATCCTTAACTTTCGGATAACATTGACACATCTCTCTCTCTCTCTCTCTCTCTCTCTCTCTCTATATATATATATATATATATATATATATATATATATATATATATATATATATATATATATATATATATACATATATAGGGTCAAGTTCCTATGAGGTCAGGTCTTCCCGTGCGGTCAGTGCGGCATACACCATTAGGTATGCATAAATGCATCACACAGTGTTTGTAAATACACCATTATGTGTGGTGCATTTTTTGTTTTGTGGTGTATTTTTTGACAATTCATTCAGGTGTATTTTCGAACACTGTATGGTGCATTTATGCATACCTAATGGTGTATGCCGCACTGATCGCACGAGAAGACCTGACCTCACAGGAACCAATATATATATATATATATATATATATATATATATATATATATATATATATATATATATATATATATATATATATATATATAAGCAAAATGACGGCCACAATTTTTTTCCTAGCTCCAACGTGTGAAAGCAATAATAATAATAATAATGTTATTACCTTATTTACATTATTTTCCTCACTACTATATAATACTTACTAATAATAATAATAATAATCTACAAATTTAATAAGAGCGAATAATGTTAGACCCTTAACTGGAACAAAAAAAATGTCGGTACTAATTGTTTCTTAAAATGAATGTTCATATTATTTTTATTTTAGTATCTTTTAATGATTTTCCTTATTTACCCTCTATTATATTATTTTCTTCCCTTAAATAACCCTAAATTCCGTTAGTTTAAACTGTTGTAACGGAATATTCCGTTAACTATTTATTATTCTTAACATACTTTTAATTTATATAAGGTCCTAGGTTCGAACCTCATCCCAAGTATAGTTGGCATAATTGTTAAACATATATTGTGAATATGTTAGAATGTATTAAAAATATAGATATAATATAAAATTTAACATAAACTTTGGTCAAATAATTAGATCGACTAAATACATAGCATTCAAAGTTGAGCATCAAAGATTATAAATCAG